TCTACAGTTTGGCGACATGTTCAACCTTCTTGCAAAGGGTATTTTCTGGGTCTGGCCCAGGGCCTGGCCCGGGGCTCGCACCCCGGCATGAGGGACAAATGCGGGGCAGGAGCCTGGCCCTGGCAGCAGGCGGGGCCCTGGCCTGGGCGCCCTGCCTGAGCGCCGGAGGCCCGCCCGTTCCCGGTTCCGGCCGAGGAGGGAGGCCCACCGGCCGGCAGCGTTGCTGCCCTCCCCTCCCAGGAGCAGGGGAAGCACTCGGCGGAGGAAGCTGTGCAGCGTTTCCTTCCTTTCTCACCAGCCCCTGCGGAGGCCTTGGGACCTGGGCTTGGCGGTGGGACCCGCAGCTTCGGGTTGTGGGAAGGAGACCCCGCAGGCCTGCGGGGACCCCCAGGAGCCACTTAGGACTAGGGCTGGGACCCTGCTTGGGAATCCCCGGCCGAGGTACCCTGTGCGCACACACCCGGGCCACCCACACAATGGCTGAGCGAGCCCCGCAAGACAGCCCTGAGCAGTCCAGAGCCCCCACCCCCACCCCTCCCTGGGACTAAGGGAGTGCCGACCCTCCCACAGCCCCGGGCAGGGGAGGAAGAGGAGCGTCTCCTACTTCCTCTCGTCCTCGCAGCCCTCATGCTCCCTTTCATCAAAGGAGATGGCACGGAGCTGATGGCTTTGGGGCTTGGGCTCCCCAAGCGTCCCCTGTGCCTCCCAGACCTGAGCAGACCTGGAGGCAGGACAGGAATGGGGCCTCTCGGGTCCGTCTTGGGGCCAGCCCTTCCCTCCTGAGGGTCAGTGTGCACTCGCTTACTCTCACCCTCCTGCCTCTTCCTAATGAAATTTGGGAACGTGTCCAGTAAACACATTGACCTTGAAGAGTCAGGGCTGTGCAGGCCGCCCCAGGCAGACCCATTCTGTAAGTCAGCACAGTGGTGACTCTCAGACAGCCCCATGGCAGACCGGGGAGGTGTGAGCTGGGCCTTCTCACCCTCCAAATCCATGTAGATCCTTCAGTCGGGTTGGGGGCCGTCAGTGGGGAGTAGCACATCTGAGGGCCAGGGCTGCCTGTGAGCACTCCGGGGACCAGAGCATGAACCTGAGAATCAGACTCAGGTCCTGGTTCAGGCTCTCCTGAGCTGTGTGATGTTGGGCCAGCTGCTCAGCCTCTCTGAGCCTCAGGTGCCTCCTCTGTAACTGGTGCTGTTGGGAGGATGAACTGAGATAACACTTGGCAAGGTGCCCGGCCAGTCAGCAGCACCTGGTGCGGACGGTGGGGCACCCTGGGAAGGACCCACGGACCTGGTCCCTCACCCGGCGGGAGGAACCCTGGCCCTGGATAAAGAAAACGCTGGCAAACAGTGTCCTGGTCCAGTGGCGAGACCACTGGGCCATCCCCAGGGGGCCACACCTTCCGCTCTGCAGATGCAGCAGGCACCCTCTGGGATCGCTCACTCTCAGAGCCAGGCCGACACCCTGCCATCCCTGGCACTCAGATCAAAATCCAGTCCCCAGGAGTGTCTGTCCTTCATGGCTTATGGCCAGCCTCACCTCAGCTCAGCTTTCGGAACCAACTTACTTCGAAGAACAGGAGCCATTGCCAGGCCAGCTGGAAAATTCGGAACCACAGCCCCTCAGCACCCCATGCTGGCCGGTTGATGGCAAGGAGTGCTCCAGACTTGCCCAGCCCTCAGGCCCATTCCCTGCCACAGGTCAGTCAAGGAATTTCCTGGGGTGCCCAGTCCAGGCACGGGGGTGGGGGGTGGCCTCTTGAAGGGGATCCTGGCACCTCATTCAGCCTCACAACTGCCCAGCCTATAGATCACATTAGCCCATTTCACAGGTGAGTCACTGAGGTCCAGAGAGCCCCGCGCTGGCTGAGCTGGGCCCAGGGCCTCCCCCAAGCCCAGGCTCCTCCTTACCGTCGGTCGCTGCCGATGTCCTCAGCCTCTGACATCCAGACCCCAGGCAGCCCGGGGCTGTGTGGGTCAGAGAACTTGGGACCAGGGGCCTGGGCCGAGGCCCCCAGCAGCCCCCAGCCCAGGGGCCCCCCGAGGCTGAGCAGCAGTGTCAGGATCATCTTGGCAGTGGGCAGGCTCAGCCGTTGCCGGTGATTCCAGAAACTGCTTCAAGTGAAGGCTCAGAAGGAAGAGAAGGCTGGGACAACAAAGAAAGGAAGTGGCCTAGGCCGGCCCACCGGTGCGTCTGGTCCAGCCACACACACACACACACACACACACACACACACACTCCCCACCCCCCGCCAGAGGCAGTCAACAGCCCAGCTGGTTCCCGGCCTGAGAGGACTTGTGTCAGGGACCCTGAGGTTTGGGAGGCCCACGCGTGGTCGACAGTTACAGACATGAGCAGAGCAAGGACGATGGGCCAGGTACAGGTCACCAGGCGGGAACCCTGGGTGCCAGCAAAGGACAAATGTAGGGGGACTCGCCCCAGGGTGACCTGTCCTCCCCTGGTATGCAGTGACCTGTCCTCGCTGGAGGTAACACCCAGGTCTCAGTTGTGTTTCAGCTCCAGGCCCAGAGAGGCAGCAAAACCAGACAAGTGACAGCAAGGCTGCCCTCAGGACCACTGGATAGTGACCAATCAGTGGAGACCTAGCTGAAAGGACACGTCTGGAAACTGCTGGATCTTCTATTGAGACATTCCCCCTTGAGACCTTCCCCCGGGACCTTTCCTAAAACCTCACCCTTAGAGCCCCTCGGATGGAGGGCCCAGCGCCTCTCCCTCCCTCCTGGGAGCAGCGAGAGCCTTTCCCCTCTTCTTCCTCCCCCTCTTCACCTCTGCCTTCCTCACTCCCAAGCTCCAAGGGCCCTTCCTTTGCCTCTATAACTCATTTCTTAAGCCCATTTCATCTACGAATTACTTCTTCCACCTCTGTGATTTTATAAATAAATGTCCTCTTATAGTTTGGGTCTTGGCTCTGAATTCTTTCCGAGCCCAAACTCAAGTACCGAGGTTGCCAAACCCAGGCCCCATCGGACCCGACCTGGTGCCATTCCTGCTGCACAAGGAGGTTCCCCACTCGCCATGTCCCATGGAGTCAGGAGAGCACAGGGTCGAGGTGGGGCTACAAAAGGCCGTTGGTGAGTCTCAGGGAACCTGCTATGCATTCATGCTGGTGGCCAGCAAGTGGGGAGCACTTCACCCCTGCTCAGCGCCTGTCACCCTGGGGAGCCAGCAGGTGGGGAGAGGCTCAGGGGGGAAGGGAGCTGTCTGAGGGCCACAGTGTGTCACCAGAGGCCAGGGCCTGGGCAAGCCTTCGTGGGCCCCATCCCAGCTCCTCCATGTAACCGTGCCACAGCAGGACGGGGCTCCCTTCTGAGTGGCTGGGCAGCCCCGGCCGGTCTGGAAGGTTGGCCACTCTTGCCTGACAGGCCTGGGTGGCCCTGACCCCTACCCTACCTGGGTGCTGGGAGCAAAGGCTCCTCCCCTCATGGCCCAGATGTCGCAGACACAACAGCCCCAGGCCTGGGAGCACCTGGGCCAGGGTGGCCCTGCGGGGGTTAGGGCAGCAAGTGAATGAAAGGCAGTGATGGCTAAGGATGCATCCAGACCGCTGCAGCCCCTCTGCGGAAGGCAGGGCAGGAAAGGAGGTGAAGCCAGCCGGGGCCCAGGGACCTGGGACCCTGCTGCCAGCCTCTATTCTCCCCTCCCCTCCCCTCCCCTCCCCT